CTAGAGTGATTCAGAGTGCCACAGTAAAGCGTTTGGGGTATGAAAGCATGGTGTGCCTCTGTCTGTCTGCAGTGAACCCAGGAGAGATTTTCTTTCTGCAGCTCTTCAAGATCTCTCTTCTTGGTCTCGTGGACATGTTCAACTTCAATGGCTCAGTTACAAGTAAACACTCAGTGACAGAAGAAAAGAAAAAGATGGATGCAGGGGGTAAAAATAAGGAGAGGGAGAAGATAATCCAATAAAAGGAAAGGGAGAGAAAAAAAAAGATGAAACAGGATAAGGTGAAAGCAAAAAAAAACGGCTCATTACAGAAAAGATAGCGCATTCTAAGCCACAGCAGGAATGAAAAATCTTTCATCAGATCAATGATTTTGGAGTCTTGGTGGGTGTACTTTATGTCTCTCTTGTCTAGTAGCAGCAATTTCCACACAGCCTCACACCTCCTGCGCTCACCACAGGCTGCAGGGAACAAAGACACTCAGAAAGCAGAAGTGATGTTGGGAAAGGCTTTGGCATTCCTGAGATATAAATCAGATCTTGGTCGCTCTCACTTTCCTTAGGAGAAACGATATTTCTTAACTCATGGCTAAGAGCACACTGGCCAACCAGAAGTGGCTCTGGTATTTTTATCAAAACTGCACTTGCTTCAGACATGGCCAATAGAGAACAATCAAGCGGTATTTTTGAGGGTGTCTGACTGCACACCCTTGGAATGAGCATCCCTAGGAGACCTCAGCTGACATCTTTTAAAGAGCCAGCAAAGGTCCCAACTTAGAGAAGGATTGTTTTTCCTTTCAGAGAGAATGCCTGTTCCGCAAATCAAAAGGAGTACATTTAATTAGTTCTGACTGGGTGTTAAACATACTAAAAAACAAAAGCGAAGTGGCAGCCAGTGGACCCAAACTCATATCTTTCTATAGAAAACAAATACCTTTCAAATGAGAAGACATATCAAGACAGTGGGTATGCCACAGTAGAAAAAAAAATATTGTAGAATGCTTTTATAAGCAGATTTTTATTTTCTCAAAAAGAAAAAAATAAAATAATGCTAAGGAGCATATTTATTTATTTTGATTCTACTGAATTCTGACAGCCTCATCTTGAATTCTGCTTGGAACTACCTCAGATTCATTTTTAATCCCCAAAACTTTAATTAATCTGCTGTCCGTAACATCGTTTGCTTATTTTGAGATGCACTAGATCACCATGCAAAAAATACATACAAATGGCGTTTACCACTGTGTGAATATTTTTCCTGGTATTCTTACAGAGAGTATCCTCACAATTTACTAGCAAAAATGTTAAATGAAAGAGAAGTGGGGAGGCAGGGAACAACCAAACAATTGTCTACATTAACACTTACTTTTGTACTGATTGAATACAGCACACGGATCATACATCAAAGGTCATTTTCCAGACCCTTTACAGTCTCATTTAGACAAAATCAGAATGCAGACAAGGCACGCACTTACTTCAAGCAAGCTGACATCCCTTGGTCGTTTCGAAATCTCTGTAGAGAGATTCGCTGTAGAGAGATTCCCAGAGAGAATCTCTGGGGAGCCCGGCTGTCCAGGGGTGCAGGGCCCATGGGGAGCCAGACAGGGTACGTCTGGCCACCGAAACTGGTGCTCACTGCCCACTTGTGTGGGGGCTCTCTAATGCCATGGCAACTCATGTCGTGTGACATCCAGCGTAGCAAATGCAAAGGACATCCCCACAGGACACCTGGTTTTTGACTTCATGTGGAAGGAGGTGAAAGTTGTTGATGTTCCTTTCTCAGAATCCTTGTGGTGATATTCACTGGTTGCTCACAGGGTATTTGCAAACTATTTATTGCCACTGTCCATCACTTTTGTCTCAGCAACCTGTAAATGCAGTTGAGCTGACCTGCCTTGTCTCTCGTAACTTCCTCCACACAATTTCCTTGTTCTTCAGTCTCTCCATTACCATCAGATTTATTTGCCCACAATGGCAGCTGGGAGGCTACCAAGCCCTGTCACAGCCCTCGAATGCACCAGTAGGCCCTAGCTGGCACCATCAACCTGTAATGGCCTCTCTCTGCCACCCTCCCCTGCAGCCGCCTCCCCTCGCTCCTCCCGGGGGCTTGGCCATCGGTGCTGCAGGCCAGCTCTGATGTGGGGCGGCTCAGTGACGCCGAGCCCGTCACTCCGGGGAAAACTGCGTGTGGAAGGGCTGCCGGAAGGCTCAGCTGGCTGGGGCCGGCACACGTGGATTTGGGAGCTGCACTGGGGCCCTCGGCCTTGGTCCTCGTCTGAGCTGTGCTTCACGGGTGCTGTGCCCAACCATGTCAAGCATGGCCAACCGTCACCCGTCCTCCCCTCTGCCCGGGCTTGGCTTCGGCACTTCCAGCGGCAGCAATATGGGGGTTCCAGGTCAGGCTTTAATGTCTTGGATTCAGCTGGCTAGTAAATGCATCAAGCTGTCAACTGAGATTATGGTCTTGTTAAAAAAGGGTATCATCTGGCAGCATATTTAACTGGGACAGTACTAAGTGTGTCACCCTTACTTCTGATGAAATAAATTTTTACTCAGCTGCCTCTAAACCTGGAATTTGACAGGAAAAACTCAGAATGAGCTTCCCCTGGCTCCTATGTTAATAGCCATTACTCCTGACTGGACACAAGCTAGACTTTGCTGCAATTTCATGGAAAGTTTGGAATATACATGACATTAAAATGGTTCTGTGTAGAACATATCTGATTACAAAGGGAACCAATCCTTTAACTTCTGTGAAGGACAACCTACCTGCGAAAGCCCATCCCACAGACAGCACTCCTGGGGTGGTTTTCTTGTCCAGCTGCATTAGCGATCTCCCTACTGTCAAGGGCAAGAGATTTAGGAGACGAGCTGCCAAGATTAGATGGGTAAGATAAAGCCAATATGGTCATGGCATGAACAACTTCTCCATTCCAGAAGGTGTGAAATGCTCCTCAGGCATCAGGATTTCTTGGTCTAAAGAGCCTACCTAGCAAGCTACACCTAATACATACACATACACAATTTTCTTATGCGATATGGATTAACACCATCACAGAATACAGAAAAGTCACGTCAGCATCCCTGTAAAAGCCTTTTATGGAATACTAAATCCAAGCTAATGAAACATTGCAAGAGGATCACTAGAGGCTATTGTTCACAGAAAATGCTTCTAAGAGACCACGATCTTTATTTCTGCCACAGCTGGCATCTACTATTTTCTGTATCATTAACATTTCCACAAAGAGACCAAAAATGCAAATACTCATTTAAATAAGAAAGGTAGCAAGATCACATTGACTGATGAGCAGAGCATATTCTATGTGTTCAGTGGAACAAACAGCATATTTAAACATCTTCTGACACTCGCTCCTAGAAGGAGTTGTCTTCACAGTAATATATGTACATACCAGCTGATATAAGGCAGCCAGTGTTGAATTGGTGGCTTTATGCCACTCTTCAGAATTAGATGTTAAATAATAATTGCATTCACTTCAGTTACCAGTATGCATATTTTTAACTGGATTGAAATACTGGCTGTCATCCACATACACTTGCTAATTCAACTACATATCATTACAAAAACTTACTGTATTTCATCTGGAAACCATCTCTGTTTTAATTCCTTTATACCAGCATGGATGCAGGAACACAACTGCACCGAGCCTGATTCCATAAAAAGTGCAGCCTCTCACCTGTTGATGACACTGGTGTCACTTACTCTGCTCCAGAAGCCATACTGGGCCATGCTTGTCACGCCACCCTGCCCTGCACAAGGCAGGAGATTTCACCAGGGCCCTGTTCGCAGCGCTGATGGAGTGCATGTGTTCAGGCACAGAAGCAGTCACGAACTGGATGGGCGAAGTGGATGCTATAATGTTTTTAATGAGCCAAAATCAGGCATAGTGTGATTTTGTGGTTGAGACAGGAACACATTAATGCTGCACAAGCTCCAAATAATGGATGTATTCACAGTGCTGACAAGCAATTTGCCATGTTGGAGTGTTCTAGTCAGTCACCAGCAGCTTCCAAGAGTTACCATACACTGTAGTTGGGACAGCTACCCTGGAAAGGCACATAGTATTTCTCTCCAAATCATGAAATAACTTTTGTCATCACTGCACAAGCTTATCCAGCTATCATACGTGGAATGTACTGATTTGAACACTTGTTCATTGCTATTGTCCTTGGCTGTCGTGCCCTCCCTCTGTAAAAAGAGTAACTGCTTTGCCTTCTCTATCTGCTAATAAATTATAGTTCCATCAAGTGATTTTTAAACTGAAGAAGTAGAATGTAGATCAGTCTATCAGCAAATTGAGCTGAAATGTTTGGTTTGTTATCATTTTAGTTGACTAAGGCTATGGCCCTGATTACTCAGAACCGTCTACTGAATGCTTACTCCAGCAAACTGTCCTAATCTCACTAGAAATAACTCCAAGGCAATTTTTCCTGCCATAAGTCTTGTCCTTGAAGCAGTCCCTGTAGCACACAAGAAGTCTTCCCATCTACGCAGGATGCCTGACTTTTGGCAGAGCAACCTGAGACCTGCTGCTCCTCCTGTCCGGAATCTGGCTAGCACCTGTGAGCCTTTGTTTATTCGAGTGTTTTTTGTCTCTCCACACTCACCTAGTGACAAATAAGACAGTTTATCAGGTAATTTGATCCCATGTAGTATCCGTAATTGTGTGTTACTATTACTCATTCTTTTAATGGTGTATGATTGTTTTTCCAAGGCACCTTATATCATTCTGTGTATGACTAAGCAGATGACTCTTAAAAAGCAGACTAATGATCACTCAGCAGTCATCTACTTGTCATCTACTTCTAAATGCTCATTTACTTGTGATTCTGTTTCCCCACAATTAAAATTATTTGAACTTAGACCTAATCAATCCAAAGAAAGCACAGCAAAAGAAAAGCCCTCAAAGTGAGTGGATCTCAGTGACAATTTCACTCGAACAATCTTGATGATTTGCCAATAAAAATTACAAAGTTTTACTTCGCCCCTTTTCAACAAATGAAACTTTATTGTCACAGGTTCGGATGAGAGAAATATTTAATCTTTCCTATCATTACCAAATCATCTTGTTTTTCTATGCTGATCTATTAAAAGTTAAGATACATCACAGTGACAATGGCACGAAGCACTCATTATATACAAAACATAAAATAATCTACTGGATCAACGTTCTCATATGACATCAGGAATTTTTAAAAAGCTGCTTGCAATTTTCAAAGATTATTTGGGACAATGTAGGAAAACAGTTTTCCAGAAAGTAGTGGTAATCCTTCTTCTATCCTATTTTTACTCAGAAATGCAGACAGAAGAAAGGGAGAGGTGTATTTCTGTGGTGGCGTCTGCCTTCTTTACAGAAAGGAGAAGTTTGTAAATTAGTTTGTTCAGCAGTTTGATCCTAAAATCAGATTTCTGCTGTCCCAAAGTTCTTTTCACTGTAACTAAATACCACTTACAGAGGAAATAAAGGATCAAAATTTACAATCTAGAAAATCAGGTGGAAACAGTTTTTGTATTTTTGGTACTAAGGCTACTTACTTTTCCTACACTGGCAAGAAAAAGAACTTGATGATATCAGGAGAGTCTTTCATCCTCCTTTTCTTGAACTCTGTTAGTATAAGAAAAAATTTTACTTTCCAGTCTAAATGAGAATTACATAGGCTAGTAATCCCTGAAGTCAACAGTACCTCTTGTAATCTGGTGCTTTCCAAAATCTCCATCAGTTACTTGAATGATGAAGGTCACCTGCTACAAATATCACATCAATTTACTACAGAAATATGTAAGTATTTATTGAAATCATAAGGACTTTAGAGGTAGCCACTGACAACACCGAACACATTTTAAGCTGATAGCATCCTGAAAACCAGGCTATGTATGGGGTTGGGATGCTCTGTAAGTGTGTGGGGGAACAAATACCATCAAGAGGGTATCCTTTAATCAAATTTTATTTATGAGAATGTGTTATCATAAAATCTTAATTTAAGGAGTGAGAATGCTGCTGGCAGAGAAGCTTCACTGCCACAGAAAATGGAATGAAGACTTCTGTATGTACACAGTGGAGTTGCTATGGTCTTTCATTTGCAATTGATCACAGAGGACAATATTTATTATTCTTATTCAAAGATCATTCAGGTCAATGGAAAGATGCCCTTAAGCTTCAGGGGCTTTTGTATAAAAGGAAGAGACAAATGCCCAGCACCAATAATGTCTGACGAAATAGCAGACTGTTTTTTGAGTGGGGAATGTGTATATATACATGTAATTAACTTACTTTCAGGAGATATATCATTTTTCTGATAAGCAGAAACAATACCGTACTTCTGAGTATTTCCCATCTGATTTTATTTCCTCATATCTTAACAAACATAACAAACTGAAACATGGAACTATTTATTTTTTGTTCTGTAATAAAAAAGATACGTTACTTTGATGGCCAGAAAATACATTAAACATTCATTTATTTGTGAGAGTTTCATTATATTTGGTTTGGTGCATAAGAAGTGTACAGTTTAACATGTTAATTTTATTACCAATTTTAGAAAGGTATGGAGCTTTGCTCTATAACAGACAGGAGACAGAGGTCTGAGTTTCCCATGTATTGTTGAGTACAGATGAGATTGGCATTTAAGCAATATGCCTTATCCTTGTAACAGGTTAATTTCAATGAGAGGTATTTGTTTAATTAGAATCAAACATAATCTTACAATCAAATAATAAGTACAAAAAAAGGAGTATTTTTTTAATATGTGCAATAGCTTGTTAGTCTCCTACTATTTCTAATTCCTTCTGCACTTCCTCTTGTAGCCGTAGCTGAATGGTGCTTTTTAAATATCTAGGCTAAACTTTTCAGAAACTATTAGCAATTGTGGGTGTCTAATCAGAGTTATTCTACTGGGGCCCAAAAGTGAATATTTAGCACTTTCTGACAATCTGACTCCTTCAAGGTAGTTAATATTGAGGTACCAAACTTCTCCATCCAAAGATACCGTATAATTATCCCAATGAACTCTGACATGTAAGTTGTTCCACATCCTCAGTTGCTCTGGTTATCTGGCCAAGGAGCAATAGTTAAGATCTGCCTAAACATTTAGAAAAGTTTTAAGTTTCACTAGGCAGCTGAACACTTTTACACACTACTTATTTATACAGACAACTACATCAGTCTCACTTAATTTTCTCCACCCTATGTCTAATCAACATAATAGCTTGTTATTTGTCTTAAACTATAAACCAAATATTTAAAAATAAAACAAACAAACAAAAACACTATTGGGTTTTACAAACAAGTATATGATGTAATAGTTTGTGGTAATGATTTAGGTCGGAGTGGCTTGCCTGTGTGGGATTTTAAACGCTCTCTCAGAACCAGTACTCGGAGACAAAGATGTGAACATTGACGATGTTACGATGAGATACCACTCCACCCATGACGTAGTTCATCTCCAGTTTCAGGATGGCATGGAAAGGTCCAACAATGGGCCTCACCTGGCGAACTACACCTGTTGGGGTAGAAATAGGTTGCTGAGATTAACAGGTAAGTCAGATGGGTTTGGATGAGCTACACTCCCCTTCATTTTCAGTATAGCTGGTGGAAAATTATCTATTGGATCTGTAAATAGCTTGCAAAAAAGCTTGCAAAATAAAAATAAAATATAACTTTTGAATCAAAATACCTTGAAGAAGATCTTGAAAGAGCACCGAAATGCTGCTAATGGCAGAAAAACTATATATTCTGAAATGAGTGAGGTTTTTTTTTTACCTTTTATTCAGAAAGATAAACTCTGTAAGCAGTCTGTGACACTGCTTTTTAAGCAGGATACAATGAGACATTCCCTAGGTAAGCCAGTACACACAGTTCCCTGAGGAGTACATGAGCTCACACACCTGGGAATACCATGCAATTTCTGGTTCTGTGTTGAAAACAGCATTTCATTTGAAACAGTAGAAATTATTTGTCATGCAGTAGTAAAATCAACCCTTTCCCTATAAACATCAGATGACACTAGTCTGGAAATTGTTAGTGTGCCATATCATGGATGGACAACCCCACAGGAAGCAATGAGGATAAAAGCAGGGGAGTTTAATGAGGAAAGGGGGACTATCACAGCATCTCTTCCTGCAACATTCCTCACATGGACGGCGGCCATTCCCTCACCAACATCAGGGCTTGATAATGAGGAAGGAAGCAGCAAGGAAGTGAGTCGTGTCTTTAAGGCTCTAGTCCTTTGGTCTGTTTTACACGGAGAATCTCCAGTGCTGGGGTCCAGCAGGATGAGGACTGATGGGGGCTGAGGGTGGGGGGGTTCCCAGGGGGGTGGCAGGGCAGGGCTTCTCCAGACAGGGCTTGTCCCACCACCCCAGCCAGGCAGCAGGGCAGGCCAGGGGGCAGCCAGGTTCAACCAAGGATCCAGATCACCAGGCAAGTTCATGGTGATGACACTGGGCCAAAGTCAAACTGTGGAGGCAATGTGTGGGTCAGGGTCCAGAACAAGAGGAGCGACGGCTGGGATGGAGCTGGAGACCAGCTCTCTTCCAGCACTGCTCGGGCAGGGACTGAAGCTGAAATGGACCCCCTGGCCTCTGAGCAGGCTGTGGGAGAGGACCTCAAGGAGGCCCATCGGGACCTTGAGGTCTTACTGGTGCCTTGACATGATGTGACTAAACAGAATAGTGTTACAGCTTCCAACCTTCACAAAAGAAAGTCAACAGGAGCTTTGCCATTGACTCCAAAGGCTCAAGATCAGATCGTAAACATGTTCTCACTTCATGGCTACCTTCTAGGTCCAGTGTTACAGAGCAGGGAGCTACCAAACAGCTCTCATCTGAAAGGATGTGTCCAAAAGGTCAAAATCACGTAAACCCAAGGTCAGCCAGCAGGCAGAGGGAGTTTGGTGGAGACCCTCCCTCTTCAGACATCTCCTTCTGACAAGTGACTTATCTGACGGGGCATTTGACTCAGAAGGAAATACACAGTTTAAGAAAGGATTATTTAAGATGCATTCCTTCTGCGTGCTGAGGGTTATGTTTCACAAGCAGGCAGCACACCAGCGCCTTCCCAGAGTCCCAGCCGAACTCCTACAGCAGTCCCCTACGAACACACTGGCTTGAGATCTGATGGGAGAGATAAACGTTTGCTTATGCAGGCTGTCAGCACCTTTTTCTAAGGCAGTGATGACATTACAGTTTTGTCCTGTTTAAATGCTAACTAATATCTTCAACATGCAGTAAAATTGAAAATTTTTCACCACATTCACTTTCCTTGCCATATTTGATGAATACGCTTTTTAAGGATCCCTCCCCCCCACAATTTATATGTACATACATACTTTTTTTTTTTTTTTCCCCAGTTTTCTTGGCTACTCTTCTGCACCTTATAAAAATGACTGGGCTTGGCAGATGATATATTGAAAAAGAAAAGCCTTCTTAAAATTGCCCTCCCTTTAGGGTAACATTTAAAGCATTTTGCTAACAACACATCACATTATTGCAGGCACTGCTTTAACTGACAACCACGGAAACACACAGCATTGGAATCACTCAGTGCTGGCAAGCTGTTTAACCCACCCTGTTAGCGGTTCATGCAGTGATCACCAAGCCTCAGATGGCAAAGGTTGCTGTTTCCATTTAGCAATCTTTTTATAGTGTTCTACACTTCCTTGCTCTACACTACCAGAGTCTACTCTAGTGTAGTAGTGGGACTGCAAATTGTGTTTTTATCTGATGTGATGCAATTCTATTCAAGATGGTTTATGCCACAGTATGGCATCTATCTGTACCTTACTGATGTAGCATTCAAAGCAATTAGTAACTTTCTCGTTCTTTTTCGGAGGTATTCTGCTAATAGGCAGAAAAAATGGAACATTTCTTTTCAAGGTGGAATGGGCAAACACATTGTGATCCACATGGCAGCACCTTTTCACACAGTTCTCTTGCTACACTCTTAAAATCATGCCTAATAATGGTCTTAGAAACGAACGTTGCACATGTTAAGATGGCTATATTGAAGCAAGAAATTGAAGGAATATACAAAGAAACACAATACTCTCACAATATTTACTTATCCAGTTCATAGTGCCAATGTCCTAGATGGTCATGAAATGACGACCAATGCAAAAGAACTAATTTCCTTCCTCTCTTATTGAATAAATAGGATGATGCAGTCGGATGGGTTTGCACTACAGCATGTCTATAAGGATGCAGTTATTCTAAATGGGCAAAAGGGAAAAAAAAAAAAAAAAAAGGAGTAAGGTAAAAACATTGAAACATTCTACTGGTTTTCAGATCTTGGCAGATTTATTCATAAGAGCTTTCCATTTCTTTTGGTGAGAAGTGCTAAAATGGAAAACCTGAGTATTTTTCTCCACCAAACTCAATGACAAATGTGGGTGGAAACCATGCAATAACAAAGATGCTCAGAGCCTGAAGCCTGGCCACACGCTTATCCAGTTCCCAGTGATCCGGCTGCAGTAGTCCTAGGACTTGTCTTGGAAATGCTGTTATATTATATTGTATAAATATCTGCTATAATGGATCACTGCCTTTTGATGCTACCTGTGTCTAATTCTCTAATGTCTTGTGCATTTCATGTCTGGTACAAGGGAGGCACAGCTATTCCAGACCCAAAGAAGGCCAGCAGTGCCTTGTGCCTACTCTCACAAACAGATACCTAAAGAAAAAGCTTGAGAATTTGGCCTGGTCCATGTAATACACATACATGGCTCAGTAAATCATTCAGTATCTAACAAACATTTAGCACAGGACACATTTGAAGATGCCATGTATAATAATTCTGGATGTTTTTAAGCAACGTGGATTTATCAGTTACTGCAATATTTGCATAAACATGTTGTTCCACTATGCCTTTTGGCAGACTAATGCTGGGTCCAGATTTGTGGTCTGGCATCCCTCAGCACTTATGACTGAATATTAAGTATAAAAACATACTTCATAGTAATAGGAAGGTTACAATTTTTAAATGTACTGAAAAGTCAGGAAATGTAGAAATAAAGCAGCTGCTTTTCGATCTCTTTTTTACCACTCTAAATCCAAAGTAGCTGGATGGAGCCACTCAGATTTGACATGGGGATAACTGCAGACTATGACTTGTTCCTGGATCACTGTCGCAGTGCACATTGTCCTGTGAGTCACTCTCTATAGGATGCCAGTAGAACAATGGTGTTGCTCATTAAATGACCTGAAAACAGAGGGCTCTCAAATACCACCATCAGCTGGTCCTCTCTGGGACCAAAGCTGAAGACTCTACAGTTGGTAAAAGGGGTGAGTTTATTTAAGCAAGTTTGCCCAAATCCTTTTCCAACAAAATTAAATTTCAGCTATGTTAGCATTTTGCACCACAAAAAGCCAGGAGAATATTTGTCTGTATTAAAACACGGTGAATCACTGATAATAAATGAACACAGAGATTCACACGGCTTCTGAATCCCATGTGACAGGCAATCTTGAGCATCTGTGTTGTCTTGCCTACAGGCACATCTATGCAAGCAAGCGCTGTTACCCTTCAGCCTGATGTGCTGCTGTTGCTGTTTATATTCTTTGGTTCATAATCTGTGACCCAAACACAGACTCAATCTACAGAAAACACTATGTGTCACAGGCCAGGCAGACTACTTTCCATCAGCTCACGTTTGTTTGGTTTTGCTTTTTTGTTAACTGAGCAGAGATGTTACTACATGTCCCAAATCTGCTTGGGTATCTTCATGGTTTGCTGACCTCCTTTTAGAAAACAATGATAAGACTTTTTTTTTCATCCGCACTTTGCCCTTCTTGCAAACAGCATCTATGTCAATCCTCTCCATCTGCTGATCTGTGTAAGCAAACAGCCTTGGCTTGAGAGGCAGTAAGTTTTTGGATGTCACAGTTATTTCTGCAGAGATAGTCTGACCATGGCCCAGAACCTGTAAAGCTCTGTAATTAATACACTGAGCTGCTCTCTTGCCCTGTTTGTTCTTCTTTCATGTTTCCTATTTCAATTTTGTCTAAGGTGAAAGTATGTCACTGTGTGTAGTGAAGATATCAACCTAAATAATATATAATACTTATTTTCAAGTGAGAATGACAACAACCAACAGTCTTAGAGCCACTGTCACTGGATTACTGAGGTTTTGCTTATCAAAGAAGATGGGATAAATAAGACAGCAAGGTTAATATTGTTAATCTTCCTAAGCCTTTCAGCAGAATTTCTATTATTGTAATCAGATGCCACAGGTATTCCTTGGCTTGTCTATACCTCTTTAAGATATCATTACATTTCTCTGCTTTGAAATATGTGAGACCCTCGGGCAATTCACCTCTGTGTCTGGTTTCTGCTTGTATTTTTGCATTAGGCAGCTGATTTGCTAAGAAGCTCCATTTTGAACTTAGGAGAAACACTGATTTTTTTTACCACATTAACCCATTCTGGATGACAAGTCTCTGCATTATCATGCATTAACATTTTGTCTCCAGAAATCCAGACTACTGAGTCTGAATTCTGTGGTAA